GTATAACTATACTCCTAGGAATGAAGATGAGCTGGAGCTCAGAGAAAGTGATGTCATTGATGTGATGGAAAAGTGTGACGATGGATGGTTTGTGGGTATGTGAACACTTCCTTTCAGATGCCTTTGGCCATTTTATAATTTGCTTGCATTTGCTCATTTGTGATAGTCAAGCTTTCTTTGATTTCATGATGCCTCTGATCTTCTACGCATTACATATGCACCACGTAATCCCAAAGCAACATTGCACTGCATTTTTTTTAAGTAGGCTCCACTCCCAGCATGGAGCCCAACACGAGGCTTGAACTCACAGCTCTGAGATCAAGACCTGAGCTGAGATCAAGAGTCGGACGCTTAACTGACTGACTCACCCAGGCACCCCTGCATTGCATTTTTAATATGGTTTACTCTTTACTGCTTCAGGTATATGTGATTTTCTGCTGGTTTTATTTCCAATTCAATGGAGAGAAGAAAATTTCTTTGAATAGCACCAACCAGAAAGACTGAGATCTAAGAACCATAACAACAGTGTTTCCTAGATGAGAAGTATTAACACTCTGTTCAGTGGGCAATGTTAGGTGTCAGCAGTGAGGATCTAATTGGAGAAAACAAAATGAAGTCAGCAATTCATCTACTTATACTAGGTCTGATGTTAAATACCCTAAAGTTCAATGATTCATCTTCATTTTAATTTTTAGTAAAAGTAGGGAGAAGTTCCATTCTTACCACTTAAAAGACAACCCCATTCTTACTTTCTTAAAAAAACAATAGGAGGTGCCTGGGTGGCTCAGTTGGTTGAGCAGCTGACTTGATTTCGGCTCAGATCATGATCTCAGGGTCATGACATTGAGACCCACATCAGGCTCCCTGCTCAGCGGGAGTCTGCTTGAGGATTCTCTCCCTCCCTCTTCCTCTGCCCCTCCCCCCACTTATGCACTCTCTTACTCTCTCTCTCTCTCAAAATAAATAAAGCTTTAAAAAAAAAAAAGGAAGACTAGAGCTCTTCTGAGAAAACATTTGAGACAAGATCATACAATGGGACACATACACCCTGTTGAAGAGGGGTGGGACAGACCCCTTGCTCATGAGCCCTGCTGTTGAGCTCCACTGCTCAGCTCGACTTGATTCAGATTGTACTTGACAACATCTCTTCCCGAGAGCTTTCTGGTCCTCATTCTTGTCTAGCAGCCTTGGCGATGGAACATCGTCCCGCTTAATATCATTACGTTAAAAACCCACCTCCTCAGCAGGATGGTCTTTCCCTTCGGGCTGAGAGGCTGAGCTTTTCTGTTTAGCCTGGTTGTGTCTGGGAGGGCAGCTTTTAAGCTTGAGAGGCAATGAAGGCATCAGGCAGTACAGAGAAAACTGCTCCCTTAGTCTTCCTAGGGTCTTAATGTGAGCTTTCTTCCTTTTCCAAAGCCCACAAGGCTTGCTTTCTTCGTGAAGGCTCTCGAAATTGAAGAGTTTTCAAGCCCACATATATAAACTGATATTTCATTGTTGCTCATTTCATTGATTGCTTCTATTTTCAGGAACCTCAAGAAGAACCAAATTCTTTGGTACTTTTCCCGGAAACTATGTCAAGAGGCTGTGAATCACTCTCCCTCCTTTTTATGCCGCATTTCAGCACCACATCTGCATAACCTTGCCGGAAAGAGCCCCTCAGGCCTCCCGCTGTCCTGCCTTCCAGTCTCCTGTGGAAGTCACCCACCCCTCACCATCTCTACCTGCCTCCAAACCACCAGCAAAGGGAGCGCCGCTGCCGAGCCCGGGGGAGGCTGGAGACTTGCTTCCGTGTGAACGTGCATATTCCTGATTTCTGCTCTAAACTTTGAAAAGTCGCTATGCGAGATCAGAAAGAAAAGCATTATAGTTAGAAAGGGTTAAGTATTTGAGGCAAAAAAAAAAAAAAAAAGGAAATATCTGAAGAATCTCTTTAGTCCACTTTCAACGACGTTCTCCCCTCAGGCAACCAGAGATTGTTTATTCCTAAATGCTGTGGTTTGCATTTTCACATTCTTAGCTTGGCAGTATATTTTCCTTTCACGAATTTGCCTAGTGTCCTGGTTTACACGACATGAAAACTGTACTTCGGCTATTGTTTGCCTGCACTTATATATTGTAATACGCACAGTGATTACAAAATCTAAAGCAAGCGTAGGAAAGTTAATTCGGATGAGTGTGATTTTGTTGATTGAATGTGGGTTTTCAAATAGGAGTCTTTTCCTGCAGTTTTTTTTTCTGTACTTTTTAGAAGTGCAAACCGTAAGTGAATAAGAGCCTTTGGTAATAATCATGAGAGTATAAGAGGTTTAGCTAGACTACAAAAAAACAAAAAACAAAAAACAAAAACCTATTGTGTTGTAAAGTTGCATTGCTATTTTATATTAAAATGTAATAATCAGCATCATGAACAATGAGCTCTTAGTGTTTTATTTATCTGGTAAAATTTTAATAAAAGCAGTGTTAGTGAGAGGTGCAAAGAATTATTCTAACGTAGACACTTGAAAGTATCTGTAAGCAATATTCATAAGTAAGCTTTCACTGTGTGCACACACATACATTTGAGATTGTGCAAGAACAGACAATCCATATGGTATGTTGTACATTTTATGGAAATGTAAAGGAATCCCACACGTGATTTTATAGAAATAGAGTACTTCAGAAGCATCACAAGTATTAAGGCTGGTTTTAGCAAGGATTATGATCAATACAATTATTTTTACTACAATAGTTATTTTTCTTCTATGGAACTCAGAATCCTGGCAACATTTGAGGACAGGAATATGTTGAGCCTGATTTTCCTGGTGTGTGTAAAATATTTCCTTGGAATCCATGAGGCACTTTTTAGAAGCAATGTTAAATCATTCAGGTTATATTTTCTGCCCTGAAGTAGAAATTTACAAAATGGCTTTGGGACCTGAAAGATTTAATGTGGTTAGCAGTGCCTGAATTACACCTACTTTGAGAACTAGCTTTGTATTTCTTATGACTTTGCATAAGAACTATTCATATTTGGATCTTGAGCACCTTATAGATAAAACTTTTTATGGCTTTCTTCTGTGGACAGTGGTTGATCTTTTCACAATGTATGTAGACTCTAGAATTTTGTACATATGTTTGCTCTTTTTTTTGTACAGATTATTTAGTTGTCAAGACAATGGGAATTTCTTAATTTGGTCTTTATCTTTCACTTTAAACTAAGCTAAAACACTTTCCAACAGATTATCCTTTACATATCCCACAGATCACAAGCACGCCTTGATTGTGCAATTCTGTAAGATAGCATTTATGCAAAAGTTTATGGACTTAAAAGATCTTAGCAGCCAAACTGAAGTGTACTGATTACAGAGGAGTTTCATTAGTAAGAAGGTAAAGAAACATCTTTGAGTAGCCCACCTTGGTAACTGTCAAGTTCACAACCAGCTTTATATCTTAAAGGCTTTGGGTTTGAAATTAAGTCAACTGCATGCAGCTTTGCTGATAAATGAATAATTACCTTTGATGCCATTTATGAGAAAAGATTTCAATATCTGTTGCCTGTCATATTTAAGAAAAATTACTGTTTCTACTCTCTGTATCTGATTTTAAAAGAAAAAAATATTCGTACCTGGCTTTCAGGTAATTGACTTTGAATTCTTACAAGCCAAGGTCATTGTGTTTTTCTTGAATAGACACCTAATAAATTTTGCTTGGAAGTATACTTCAGTTTTTTCTTTTTGACATTTATCCTTAAGAAAATTGTGTAGTTTACCCCAATTTCTTCGATAAACCAAGAGAAAATGCATTTGTTCTATGTTCTCTTGAGACACAAATGGAGAAAAGATGTATATGCATCAGCTCCCAGAAGAAATATTCTTTAAACCTGCCACTAAAGCTCATTTGCTAAATACTCTCTGGCTGGAAATTACTACTCAGCTAAAACAACACATTTAAAAGTATTTATGCCTCAAAAACAGCTATTTTTCCAAGAAGAAGTTAATTACAAGAAGTTGTAAGCACTTTCTCAATTCAATCACCTTAAATTTTAAAAATTCTTGCCCTAAAAAGGGTAATACCCTGGTAATACCCACAGGCTTTCAGTGAATTTTAAATTATGTGCTTTTCTCTCACACAAATAGTAAATAGCTAGCTTTCCTATTTGGATCCTTTCTTCTTTCTTTTTCCTTTTTTAAAATTTTTTTTATTTAAATTCAGTGTAGTTAACATATAGTATATTATTAGTTTCAGGGATAGAATTTAGTGATTCATCCGTGGCATACAACACCCAGTGCTCATTCCATCACGTGCCTTCCTCAATGCCCATCAGCCAGTTACCCCATCCCCCCACCCCCCTCCCCTCCAGCAACCCTCAGTTTGTTTCCTGAGATTAAGAGGCTCTTATGGTTTGCCTCCCTCTCTGTTTTTGTCTTATTTTATTTTTCCTTCCCGTCCCCTATGTTCATCTGTTTTGTTTCTTAAATTCCACGTATGAGTGAAATCATATGGT